CTTCACTGAATGAGCCCAGGAGCAGGATTGCTGCAGTTACAAGAAGACAACTGAGTCAGCTCTGACAGCTATATACACATACACAGCACATGGGAAACCATTCCAGTGCATCAAATAACCATTTACTTCTGGACGCCTGGGGTCAAATCTTAGCTGATGCAATTCATGCATTTCTACAACTTAAAATTTAAGTTAAACTTTTATATATTTTTGATGCAATAATGTTCCTTTGTCCATTGCATATCAATGTAATTAAATGCTATCTACGTTTCAAGATGAGAAAAGTAAAAAAGAAAAAATATTGTCTCTCCAAGAGAAGCACATCTTCAATAGGTGTCATTAAAATAATTGCCAATTTCAGATACTGTTTTCCCTAACTGCTTTGTTGGAATTTTCCTATTTTGTGTGTTCTCCCATGTAACTTAATTGCTCGTTTCTGGTGTAAAGATGTGATTTGTTCAGTTAGAATCAGATTTTTGCCATTATTTAATTCGGTAGTGTTATATTTGCAAATAATTATGCTTAGGTCAGTGAGACTTGCTAGTTCTGGAGTATATATCACTCAGCGTGAAAATGTGGCAAATCCGTGTGCTCAGTAGACTAGCCATTGGCAGGGACATAGCTTCATCTGCGTGCAAGTCTTCAAGCTGTGGTAATTAACAAGGAGTTGAAGACTTCATGCGTTTTGTCCAGAAGATGGTTGCCTCTTGGATTTCATCAGAAAACTTTGTTAAGCATGATTTTTAGCTTCAAACTAGACACGCTGGAGTTCTCTGTAAAATTGTTACAGGGGAGGATCAATGTTTTTGTTTTACTGCTTGATACACGGAACCATGGTTTGTTTTGGAGCATAAAAAGCCCAGACAAGTCTTGGTTGTCTTTGTTAGTGTGCAGACGCTGCAGAAGTAGCTGCTCTTCGAACAAGGCATGTCTGCTGTTGGGGCAGTTTGTCAACGTGGAGCACCGGGTGGGCGAAGTGGAACAGCGATGGGCAACACAGACACAGTCTGAGATTTTACTTACTGTGTCACCAGATACTCAAGTTTTTTGTTCAGATAAGCCCAAACAGGGTCAGTTTGGTGATAGTAACAGGTTCTGGCAGCAGCCCAGCAGTCATTAGACAAGGAGAGGCGATGAAAAAGGGCCAGGCCAGCCTGGCAAGTCCACTGGGCAGAGGTAGACCTACCACGCAGACCCAGCTCAGGCAAGGGCTGGGGCCAGGGCAGGAGCTGGGGTTGAGCTCCCAGGCCAGGGCAGCAGCGCAGGGGTGGGAGCCCCAGGCACAGGGGCAGTTCAGACCTGCTGGGTGCCCCCAGTGCCCCGAGAGTCACTCTCTTGAAAGACTGCTGTTCATCTTCTTCTGAGAACATCAGCTCTGACTTGGACTGGAACTTCATGGGAGGTAAGTTAGAGGGGAACATGTTGGGAGACCCTTGGAGCATGCATATGAACAGCAATTCATTGAATCCAATGGCATAACAGGGAATGAATTTTATTCAATAAAAGAAGAAATGACTATTGTAGATTTAGCATCTGGGGCTAGATTTGAAAATGCACTTTGTCTTAGTTAACGTCTGTTCCCACTGAAACCATCAGTAAGCCTCACCTGATTTCAGCGGTAGCAGAGTTTATCCAAAAGCTCAAAAATCCTCTAGTCACAAATTCCGAAAGCAACAAAAAAATCAGTATTATAAAAGTTACTCTGGTAGCTGCTACTGCTGCATAGAGAAGGCGACTCTGCCGTCGGTTGGCAGATTGAATGGACCTGAACTTGACAGTTTTATGCAATGACCTCAAAGAAACGGTTAACAAAAATCAGCTGATTAGGGTGTGTTAGAATCAAACACAAATACTGTCCCCAAAAGAGTATAGACTCGGCTTGGTGGAGGTCTGAGCCTGACAACAATTCACCTTCCAGCTTTCCTCAGCTTTGGCTCAACAGGAGGCCTGATGGCTGCTGTGAATGAGGCCAGCTTGCCTTCCCCGATGCAGAAGAGACCGGCTGTAGCTTCCAACCCAAGCATGTACTGATAGGCCGTATCCTCCCTACGCTCAGTGAAGGCTTGTCTAGTTTTACTAAAACGGGATTGTGCTCAATACCAATTGACTAATTAATTGGGCAATGGCAACAGTGAGTCTTAAGCACAACCAAGATAGCTGGGCAACAGTGGGAACTGTCTATGGCACCTGCTGACTTGGCTCAGTTACTCGTATTTTTCTTAAAGATGTTGAAAATTTGAAATGTCAAAGGCTGTGAAAGCAATTCCACTGAAACGCAAGCCTCAGGAAATTCATTTTTCAGTAATTCCACAAATGCAGAAAGAAAGGGATGGGGGACACTCCTGAAAGCCTGTTTGGAGGATGGCCAGATGGTCCCCTTCTCTGGTCGGTGGTGACGCTGACTTTCTTTTTTGTGTTTAGGAAAGGTCCTGACTTCTTCAAGCTTGAAAATTGTTATTCCACTGTCCACCCAGAGTCTTCCTGTGCTGAAGTAATAGATTTTTCATTGAGGCAGTTCTTAAAATGATGAGCTCCAGAGCTCTATTATGTAGATTTTTCATAAAATTTTAGATGAAACAGTTGTATTTTACAGTCTTCTGAGAATTTTTAAATTATGTAAATCCAGTAAATGCTATTACATAATTTTACACCCTTGTATAGCTATGGAACAGGCGTCACAGTGAACCTGCGGTAGCTGATGACATAGTCTGGAGTTTAATATTGGAATGTTTATATCGAAGAAGAGGTGGGATGTTGGTCCATGGATATGTGGACCGTTCTGCTGGCTGGAGATCACCACTGCGCAGTAACGTCTCTGTGCTTAAAGCAAAGCCAGAGCACAGATGTGGAAAGCAGCCTGTCCCCGTGTAATTCTTACCTTCAGAAATAGAGTATATCCCCAATTCTGTGTTGTAGCAGCTATTCCTCCCCTTGTGCTGCTGGGGCCATGCAAACAGGCCGGATTTAAAATCTGGGCTCGTGTCCACTGCTTCAGTGTTTATCTCCTGTAGCAGCAGCAGTAACGAATGACTGTGTGGTCACAAATTGTAAAGGAAGGAATAGCATGCAAAATAATGAGAGCAGTCACAGAAATAATGTTTCTAGCATGAGAGAGCCTGTAAATCATGGATCCAAACCAAGTCAAGAACAAATATTTCCCTTATTTCCCCTCCCTCACAGAAACCCAGGACTCCTGCTTCTAAGCAATAAGCAAAACATATAAATGCCCGGAAACCTTTTTTACCAGCTTTTAAAACCAATTAAATTAATTTCATGTAGTCAAGGAAAGTTTACAGAGTATTTCTTGTAATGGGATGAAACGCACTAGCAGAAAGTACCATGGAGAATGTAGACACCTAATTATATCTCCGCATTTTCAGGAAATAAAACTTCCTGGAGGCGATGTGTCTTGTAGAAGCGGTGTCATTTATGAATGGGCTTTTCGTATGCTGGACCTTGCACTCTAGGACTCATGACACAAGGGAATACTAAAAAAATCTCCAAGCTTGAAACAAATCTGCCTCTGTGGGATCCTGACCCGCTGGCTGTAGGCAGAAAGCCATCCTTTCACTTCTCAAGGTTACAAGAAAATGTCCCATGGCAATGGGTTGTCTTGTTCTTGCCTAATGCAAAAGCTTCTGTTTTCTTCCTTGACAGAGCTGATATTGTTGCCTGATCGAGAACAGTAGCTTGTAGAGTCCTAAATCTTTCCATAAAGTATTAATCCCACTAGCAGGCTGCCAGTTTGCATACTGGGATATCCAATGCACTAACATACTGTGTTATTACCAAATTTATCCATGTATTTTTATCCCGTAGTCTTCACTTCCAGAGCAGTTTCAAATATTTAGTGCCTTACTATTAACCGGAGAGAGTCTACACTCAATGGCTGAGCACAGCATGTGAGTACTGGGAGGAAGCAGAAGTGCCTGGGTGCAAGCTATGAGGGGACTGCTGTCACACTCGTGGGTTTGTGGATGGGAAAAGGAGGCCGTGGCGAGGTCGGTGTCCTGCGAGGCCCTGGTGAGGCTGAGCTGGGCGCTGCGGGCTGTGCCGGCCAGTGCTGCCCCACGCTTGCCCGCTCCAGCCTGCCCACCGTGCCATTCCCGATTCCTCTGGGCATGAAAATAAGAATCAGTAATGCTGGTATAATGCTTTAGAGAAGGCTTCATGTGAGCATCAAACATAATTTGTGGTTCGGCCAACTGTCTCTTGAGTGCAAAACCATCGTTATTGATGGGGAAAGCACGTACATCTGTGTGTGATGGGAGGGGACGTACAGGGCACTATCCAAAGCCAAGGTGGGACAGGGCTAGTGAAGCCATCACAGTGTTTCTGGCATACAGAGCAACAGAAAAGTCCTTTTGGGATGCCTCAAATTTCTGCGTGTGCTTTCTGAATGCTCCTTTTAAGCTGCTGTCCCATTCTGTGTACACTGAGGAGAGCTCCCCAGCCTCAGGCCAGGCCTTTGCTCTGCCCCCATCCCTGCAGAAGGTGCAAATGAGATAAGCTGAAGATGGAGTTTCTGGCCTGCAGGCCTTACACAAGCAGCATGTATCTGCAGTGATGCAATTTTCAGACAACTGCAATATAGGGTTTGTCCTCTTCTTGCTAAAGGCTTGCATCCTAGGAGATAAAACCAGATGGACACAGACACGGCTAATATAGAGGGGGAAAGCTTTGAATGGGGGAACTCCTGCAGGACAGGAGGACAGGAGCTCTTCTGGGGACAGTCCTTGGTGCAAGCTGTGCTCAGAGCTGTGCCTTGACTTCATCTCAGAAGGAACTTGCTGGTTCACTTCAGAAGAGGAGCAGAAACAAACAGGAAGGACTGATCAAGTACCTACTTATAGCCTGGACTGTCAGGAGAGCTGGACCCACAGCAGATCAGGGAGCTGAGTTCTTGGGCAGCATTGGAAGCACCCAGCATGTAGACTCCATGGGCTGCCTTGGGAACACCTAACTCAAGTGTTGATGAGCATCAGAGCTCACGGTACGTACAGCAAGAGCCAGGCATGTTATTTCAAGCACGTGTCACAAATGCAAATTGATGGCTGTGGGACAAGAAATGGCTCATCTCCAGCCTGTGGGAGCTTGGGCAGGAGAGCCTGGGCTTTCCCCAGACATGCTCCCTGTCCCAGGTCACTCACTGGAGCAGCAATCGAATTTAAAGCAGTCAGTCTGTACCTCATTATGAGTTGCCCAAAATTTCTGTGTTCTCCACAGATAATAGTGCAGAAAGAGTCAAATCCACGTCTGGTGACATGGAGCTGTCTTACCGCTCCTTTGACAGGAGATGAAGTTATTGCTTGCCATATGTATCAAAGTGCTTGCCATATGTATCATAGATATAAGTGCTTGCCATATGTATCAAACTTTTATTCCTAATAGGATATTACAAAATAAAGCAGTGATGTGCCTCATGTATTAAAAATGATAAATAGATCTTTAACTGAGTTGGTATGTATGATCTGGGATCCCAGCCTGTGGCTTGCGTATGGAGTTTTTCTGTGAAGGAAGAAATTAGACTTCAGAAAAAAGTATCTTAGTATCTTAGCAGCAGTAAAAGTGTATGAAAATAGAAACTGGAGCCAGACCCAATGCCATATATCATTAAAATGTGTTAATCAGAAAAAAAGAGAGAGTGTCTTTCTTTTCATTTAAAGAAACAGTTGTGCTGCAAGATATCCTTTGCTTTAAATTCCCGATTTGGCTCCCGGCATTTTATAACTGGTTTCCTTTAAAGCCTGCAGTATGCCGCAGAAGCACTGGACATTTTTAATACAAAAGAAAGAGCAGAAGAATGAAACTGGGGAAATGTCCTTTCTCAGACAAAACCCACACATCTTTATTTTTAATTATTTAAAATGGGGACTTATTTAGGTAATGAAGATTTGATGTTCGATTTCATCTTTAATTGTTATAGGTGGTTAAGTGTATTCTACTGAAGAAAGAATAAACTCCATATGCATCTGTAATGGCGTGAAACAATATAACCAAATATGCTTAGCACTTATGTGGGTTTTTTTCATCCTCAAAGCATAGTACAAAATTAATTTTGATAGGATAATAAAAAGAATACTGCAAAAGATTAATGTCGAAGAGATTTTAACACCGGAAATATAATTTGTGTGATGGAAAATATGAGCATCTGGCATTGCACTGTGAACAGTTCCTAGTTAATGAAAAAAAATCTTCCAAGTAAGCATGGCCAGTTCCCGCAGATTATTTTTGCTTGTCTCTCCAGAGATACCCTCTATCTTCTGAAACAACTGCGCAACAAACATTCCCTCCTTGCAATTTTCCATCTGGAGCCTTGAATGACTGGTGAATTAAGGTCAGTGCCAGGATGTGACTATATTTCTTCCCAGTAAGCCAAAGGATGATCACTGAGCAGCCTACCAAAGTAATGCCTTCTGTTCTGCCTAAGTGGATCTCATTGCATTATAATCGTGCAGCGAAAACAAGTACAGTTACCTCAGTGCTTCACTGGCAAAAGCAAGCGTTACCTTGAAGTTAACTGGGTAATGTTGGTCACACCAGCCTGTTACGATTTGCTTTACACCAGTTTAAATGGACAGTCCTTCACAGTGTGCTTCCCATGGAAAAGTCCATAAAAGAATATTTAGAACTTTTTAAAAATTCTGCTTTTAAAAAGTAGTAAGATAAAAAGCGTCTACAATGCGTATTATACCTTATCCCCATACCTTTTGTGAGAGAGAAAGCCCTTTTTGTGTGCTCCACGGCTCTTGTCCTCTGCTGAAGTAGGCTTCAGTGATTCGTTTGATGCAAAGGCGGTTTCACATCTCTCTGCAGAAAGCTTTAAAGAGACTTCTCGATGTAAATTGTTGTGTCCAAGAAGTGACTCCCGGCAGCTGGGCTTCATGGTGGGGGAGCGTGAGCTGCCTTTGATACCTCGCAGCGCTCTGCAGGGACCCGAGGGTTTGCCCTGGAGCAGCAAACTTCCTGGGGCTCGGCGCAACAAGGGTTTGAAGAATCAAAGCAGAATTGGGCAGCCAGGTGGGAGCTAAGGCAGGGAGTCGAGGCTGAGCTGGAACAAAGGCTCAGGTGTCCATGAGAGGTGGAGCAGAGCTTGGAGGGAGCATCGTGCTGGGGTGGGGCGAGCCCTGCATGCCTTCCCACCCTGGCCATGCGTGGGGCTGGGGCTGTGGGTACACCACTCCATACAAACATACTAAAACTGCAAGTGGAGCAGAAATGACTGGCAGGCTAGTAAAGTTATGTCATTATCAGACTTGGGTGTTATTAGGGTGTGGAACGGACTGTGCACATTGCCTTCGTTCTTTGCCTTTTTACTGTGGGTTTGTACATGACCTCCCCCTGTGTAGTCCATAAATTGTAGGTTTTAGACCGCTGGCCCGTCACACCACGGAACTGCTGTGTATTCGCCTTGCTTGTTGTACTGCAGGCCACAGCAAGTGGCATTTTGAAATGCAGTGCCGATCAGTGTGCAGGGCAGCTCTGAAATATGGCA